TATCAATGATAGATGGGTTATCCCTAATACAGTAATCTATAAGGTTAGCAATTTCTTATTTTAAATTTAAAGACTTTTTAATTCAGTACAATGATATGAATAATGTATACAAGTGTCTTGTTAAAAGCTGCTCTGAGAAATCTCTGATGTTTTAACCTCTTCTCATAACTTTGATCTCTGATTAAACTAACGAATATTAACAATTGTTTTCTGAATTTCTTGCTGCTTTATCATTCTTCCCAAGCAGAAGTATCAAAGGCTGAAAGGAAATCAGTATTCATATAACCTTATGAAAATACTGTTAGTTTCATTGCAGAATACTAAATGTACCATCCATTATGAAGCTATGCTTGTGAAACAGAACTTAATAGACAGCACAAAAAATCAGTTCAAATAATACAAAGGACCTAAGCCAAACCTGCAAAAGCACTGAATTTCCAAATGGAAGTCTGAACTCCAATCTATCTATAGTATTTTGCCAAAGTCTCTCAACAGCGAGTTTTTTTTCCATGCTTTCCTCCCCAACTTGCCTTTCACTCCAACCAGAAAATATTCACAATGTTCATGGATAATTTTTGCAATATTAGACCTCAGTCCTGGAATAGATGCGGGTGGAAGATTCCTGTGTCTACATGGAGCCCTACTGTGTGGGTGCCGGATTTGGGCCTTCATGCTACTGCACTTCTGCACAATTTTGCTAAATTCTCAGTTTGCAAATAATGCACCAGGTATCCTTTATAAATATAGTTTGTCTTTAGTGGGGCCCTGCGTGGTTTTTATTATTATTCATATTTATTACAGTAGTGCCTCCGGCCCAATCAAGAATGGGGCCTTATTGTGCTAGGCACTGTACAGAGTAGTTGACACTCCCTGACCTGAAGAGCTTACAGTCTATTTGACAAGACTGACACAGTGGGGGAAGGGATAGAATGCAAAGCAGAGTGAACAATGTGGTGGCAGCAAACATCATATTAGTTGCACAGTTTTTGGGGGGTGGGTTTAGTTAGGAAGGGATCAACTATATGGAAAAAACAGAAGGGAACAGGGTAGGGGAGAACAAGGTAACAAAGCCAGGTGTAGAGTGAAGCAGAGGTGAAGAGACAATGAGGGAGGGGGACAGTTGGATGGCACAGGAATCCATCTGCATTCAGCTTACCACATGAGTAAGTCTTAATAGTGCAAAATTTCTCCATGAACATTGCAATATTTTTTATTATGTATTTGAAGAAGAGGGTGGATTGGAGGCATGATAAATCCCACCTTCTGCTTTAAGACCCCTGTAACACCTAGGTGAATTAGAGTAGGGTGTGGGGAGGTCTGACATTGTTGAATCTAAATATACAAAATGAAGACGGGCAAATACTGCAACCCCCCCCCCCCCGCCCCAAAACTGTGATTTGCTGAAATTTTTAAATGATGTGCTTCTTTTGTGCTCCTTGCCTCTTGTGTGTTCACTTTCTGTGAATTACTCCACATAGTAGGCACTACTCCAATAGTGGTCTCATTTCTCTCCTGCTTCTTTGCTCCACAGGGGAGGGAAGAGAGCTTGAGCAAGGGAGGATTCTGTGTCGGTTCTGTTCTACCCCAACCTGACCCACCCCTTACATCGTGTGGGAGGTGGTAGCTGGTGAAGGAGACACCTCTACTGGGATTACACCTACAGAATACTTCTCCCTCTGCAAAGCGAATTCTCCACTGGCCCTTAATGGCCAAAATCCAACCCCTTTGCACCCCTTGATCACACTAGAGAATCTGGTCCAGTGCATGTTGACAGGGTTAGAAAGAGAGAGGTGTTTCGCTTCATTACAAATAGATTGTACCTTATGCTGATAGAAGGTTGCAATTTTCTGAAAACATAGATGTGGAGTAGAAATGTAATTCCATGACTAAATAGCCTCTCCAAAGACCATAGTGATTGAGAACTTGACAGAGACTGTTTCTGCATTTACTGCAGGTAATGAATCTGATGTTTAAAGAAAACATCTTTATTTACAGGCACACAACTACACGTGCTTCTCTCTTCTAACACAGCAGTAGACAAATTTTTCACTTTTTGAATGCTTCTAGGAATATTTTATAGGCAAATAAATACCAACGGTGTACAGTGACTTCACTGTGGGTGGGAAAGTGGCAAATAAACATTAAGCTTGGCGATAAGTATTGAAGATGAACTGTGCACAATAAAAATACTTTTCGATAAAGATCTTGTCCATCTAAATATATTCAATAGCTGTGTCCACTTAACTGCTCTAAAATAGCCCACGTTGCACAGCTGGTGCCTTAGTAAGGAAAGTTCTTGGTAGTTGGACCTGGATCACATGGGAATTAGACAATCTGAAAATTGTAAAGGCGCCTGCATCTCCTCTTTCAAAGGAAGTAAAAGTGCAGAAAGAAAAGAGTACATGCTTTTGATTTCAGTGTTTCTCTTGCTATTCCTGCAAACAGCTCTGCTTTTAAATTTAGTTTTATGTTATAAATTTCTCATTTTAAGTGAAAATCACTTCTATGCCAAGAACTGGATACCACTCAAGTCCTCACCAATAGGTGCAATTTTGTGCTCTCAGATGAAATTTGCCTTTTATGTGTCAGTTTTAAAAACAAAGGTACATAAAAACTATGAAAACTGCAGTTCACAGATGGCTTTCCTGTGGTCTTCCTGTTATATATATATATATATATATATTTTTTTTTTTTTGCTTGTTTTCTATAGAGCCCACAATGTGCTAGGCACTGTACAAATATTAAAAGTGACAGACCCTTTTGCAAAGAACTCACCGTCTGTATGTTCTTTCTTCATTCTGTGTGAGTATAGTATTTATTACACATTTGAAAAACTAGTGTTTATGCAAAATTGCTATAAAACTTGCCACCTTATATTAATATTTGTCCATGGTATAGTGTAGATTGGTCTTTTCAGAACAACTCTCTGAAATGCCCAAAGATAGAATGTGTAGCTTGACATACCATTCAGGGAAGTTCCCATTAAGCCTATCACCCCAAATACTTTAATGAGGGAATTATCCCAGCCATGTCGAGATATGAGTGACTCCCCAGGATTGCAAACATGCAGTAGTGCCACTGGGACATGGGTCTTTAAATAGGGGAGGGTTAAATTAGACAGTGAAGTGGAGCTGTACCCAGGTTTCAGGGTCACCTTGCCTTGACCCGAACTCTGCGTTCCAGACACTTCTGCTTGCAGGTAGTGGAAGAATGGACTTAGCCAATGGGGTGAGAGGGCCTGTGCACAGGGACCCCAGAAAAATGGGTGTCCCTGTGCCCTGATGCTGTTCCCTGGCATAAACACTAGGGGGGTAAGCCCCAGGGCCTAGACCCCTTCTGCGGCCCTAGGACTGGAGGACCTCTAGCTTCCTGCTGGGCCTCAGGTTGGAGGAGCTCTCACTCTCCACTGCAGCCATGGTGACAGGACAAAGCTTCTCTGGTCTGGGGCCACAGTGGGGGAGTGTGGGCAGAAAGGAGCAAACAGGTTGCGGGCCACAGTGGGGGGGATGGAATGGGGCGGGAATGTGAGTGGAACAGGGGCGGGGCTGCGGGGGGAAGGGGCTGAACAGGTTGCGGCCATGGGCAGGGCTGCAGGCAGAAGGGGCAGGAATCCAGGTAGAAGGGATGGGGAGGGGCCCCACACTTGCTCTGGCCCAGGGCCTCACAAAACCTTAATCTGTCTCTGGATGAGCCCTACTCTCTCCTTTCCTCTCTAAAAATATCTACCCACATCACATTTGAGGACACGCAGTGCAGCTAACTATAGAGGGCACTACTTGAATAGAAGGGAACTTCTTCTGCCACAGAAGTCCAGAAGTAAAGGGGGCCTCCAGATCCAAAACTTTCTCTTCCTGTGCAGATGACACCATTCCTCGTGCAGCCACTTCAGAACAAATCTTGGGATAGGACAACATGATGTTTGATTAGAGAAGAACAAAGAGAATGGGGGTGACTAAAGAAAAACCAGGAAAATGGGGTGTGATTTTGTGACGGGGAAGAGGATAACAAATAGCTGAAAATAAAGGGTAAGAGCACAGAAGAGGAGAAGCAGAGACAGACAATCTATATTGTAAGAAATATTTGTCAGTGATGGGCATGAAAATAGTGCTTCCAGAAAAGCCAATTAAGGTATTGTGAAATGGCTGGTCTAGGGAAAAGTAGGTTGGGGGGGATTTAAAAATTACTGTGGTGAAAAGTAAGGGTAACATAATTAAAGTTAAAGCTGTGCAAACCTGTTTGTGTTATCTCTATGTTGGTTGTGAGTTTCAGTGGTTTGTTTTGAGTCAGAACTGAATTCACAGGCTCTAAGGTTTCAACCAGGTTTTCCAATACCCTAATCGGATTGTAAACCCATAGGCAAGGCTGGTGGTGGAGGAGTTTGCTTTACTCATGTGGGTTTGCTAGAAGTGGGAATAGGTCTCAGCTTTGATTCAGACAGGAAAGTCTGGTGTTAGTGAAAACTAGCTTCCTCCGTGATTTTATTATGCAAGTCAAAATTTAATAATGACAGTTCCTGCTTAACTGGGAGAATTAAAGAAAGTTTTTATGTTCTAGGCCACTACTTGTTACATTTTGGTAGATCCTCCTTCAAACTGGGATCAGTTATAATGCATTCCTCCCTATATCTGTCCTATTATTTTTGAGAAATCAAATTAAAATGGCTTCTGCTGAGTGGACCTTCTTGTTCCTATGGGGCAGTCTTTTTGGCAGACCGGGATACTGAAGGAATACCATGTGCTATTCCCGAAGATGTGTGCTTTAGCACAAAATTCACCAAATCCAACACAGTCAAAAGTCCAGCAGTTCACAGATAATCAAGCAGTTGCACAAAAAGCTCTGGATAATTTTGTGGGCTAAAACAAATGTTCTACAGCCTTATTTTTAGGCCTTCAATGATTGTAAGTCAAATATTTAGCATAGTAATATTAGAAATGCTTCCAACATGAATTTAAATTTCAGACTTTTTTGGGGGGCTCCCAAAACCCTCCATTCCACACCTACCTCTGGGACTTGAACTTCCAGAAAATTCAGATCTTCCACTGATGTCTCTTCTTTCCCCCTCTCCTGAGTAAATAAACAAAGTTTATTACTCCCGTTCCCTGATGATAGTGTGTGTGAACTGACTCCTATCAACAAATGAACTCTAGGGCAAACTTTTCCTTGGTCCAGGCGATCTTGTTAGCAGGAACTATTGACCAAAAGTCCAGAATGAAATGAATGAATGAATGAATGAATGAATTTTTCTTTTAAAATGCCAAGTATCAATTGTTTTTGCTAAAACTGTAGTATACTAGCAGTTTTCCCTAGATCTTTATAATTTTGTTAGTTAAATACATACTATGTTTCTGGTATTAACTGTGTTCATGCAGTATAAATACAAATAGTTAAGAGCATATAATAGTTTTTGTTTCATTTATGTTCATTTGTTTTAATACACATTCTATGGAAGATAACAGTCATAATCAACCAAATATGCATAATTGCTGTAAGCAATCATGGGATGTAACAAATGCAGCATATAAAATTAACTAAATACTTTTCAGAGACAGAATGGCATATTTATAATTTTTGTGACACTTGTTCTTGATTAATCATACTTTACTAAAGAAACTAATTAGCTAACTACAGTATGTGACATGATGTCCCACATGCCCTAAATTTCCAGCTTGATAATTAAGCAGGAAACATACTAGAATGTGGAACTCGTTGAATGCAAATGATGTTTGAACTTTACCATCTTCATGATTTATCACATACTCATTTTAAAAAAATCCCTCCAAATCTACATATTAAAAGTCATGAAGGTTTTGGTTGGAAAAAAGATACTATGCATACACAATGGTAAGTATTTAAAGCCCAATATCCATTGAACAATCATTGTTTGTTTGAGATTATTTTTGAAGAAAAAATAAAGTAAAGTTTTGCTAAAACCACCTAGCTTCAATTGGTTTCATATTGAAACTGAGATTTTCACATTACTTCCAGTTCCATTCTCCACTTCAGAGATGCAGTCTCCTGATTCACTTCCAATTATGGTTTATCAGGGAACCAGACCTCCTGTTGATTGATTACCTGCCCTGGGGGTACCTGCTAAGTTGCAACAAAAATAAATTTTACAGCTTAACTTACCCATCATGTCCCTGGCCTGCTGAGAGGAAAGTTTAAAAACCCACCTCACCCTGGCCAGTCTGGCAGTGAGGAAAAATTCCTTCCTAGCCCCAACAGGCAACGAGCATGATACCCACTTTATAATGGGACCCCCAAACCTGGTCCCATTATAAATGCAAGGGGGGAGCTTTTATTCCTGTGCAGAATGGCCCCCAGGCTTTGGGGAAGGTATTACAAACTCTCCCACTAAGTGCAGAGGGAGCCGATAGACTTTGCTACAGCTTTGTGGCCTACCTATCAGCTCAGAGTCTTGCTCTTTGCCTCATCAAGACCATGAGGGAGGCTGAATGCCCAAAAAGACGTGTGTGTGGGGTGTACTCCTTTAAAAGGAGCCTAGTGTTTTCTTTTCCCTGATGGTGCAGACCTCTGTGGCCATGGGGCAGAGGCTTCCAGTGATTTCAGTACCCATTGCTATAACTGACCATTTATACAGCATTTTGATTGTTTTATTCCTGAAAGAAAAGAGTTTTAGTTTCCACGTTCAGATTTTGCCTTGTGTTACAAATGTTTGGGGGTATTGCCTCAGGAATTAGTGAGGCAACTGTCTGAGAATTTCAGAGTAACAGCCGTGTTAGTCTGTATTCGCAAAAAGAAAAGGAGGACTTGTGGCACCTTAGAAACTAACCAATTTATTTGAGCATAAGCTTTCGTGAGCTACAGCTCACTTCATCGGATGCGCATCCAATGAAGTGAGCTGTAGTTCACGAAAGCTTATACTCAAATAAATTGGTTAGTCTCTAAGGTGCCACAAGTCCTCCTTTTCTTTCTCTCTGAGAATGTTTCAAGTCTGTGCACTTTCCTTGTACTAGGCCATTGTGGCAGGTGAAGACTGCAGTTTCTTTCTATATGCCAGTCACTGGCTGCATGCCATCAATGTTCCAGGTCAATTAATGTTTTATTAATCGTAAATATTCACAGAGGCTCAGCCAGGTACATTTTAAAAAATAACAATGGCATGAATTATATATCTGTGTTTAAGAATTTCAAAGCAATAGTTCACAATGGATATATTAAATCTAGTAGAACCAAAGCAGATGCGCTTTTGTGGCTCTCTTTGGTTAGTTTTACCAGATGAAACTTTTTAATGCACTATAACTCATTTTGCAAGACTTGTCATGCCAGGTCTTGACTGCCTTTTTAATCATGCGATCTGGATATAATTCTTCATTTAAATATATCCCATGGCCTCTCCAGACATTTTTTTGCAGTTTAACCTCATATACTGGTTTTTTTTTAAAATAATAATAAGCCCAAAGGGTAAGGAAAGAACTAAATTTAAAATTAAATCGTTCATATTTTTTCCTAATTATCTTCTTGCTATATAGTCTGTCAAGTGGATCTTTAGTTTGTTACTAATAGAGAAATTCTATTCAAGCTTTAAGATAAAATATTTTAAAGAATTTCTTTATTTCAAAAGCAGGCTTACAATAAATATTTTCCCACCAGAATTGTACCATAAAATACTCTAGGAATTGTAAATTTTAATACCAGCTGATGACATCTGAACAGAAAAGCTAAAAAATTATCTTGCCATCTCTAGTATTCAAACTAAAATGAAGACTAATTAAGCCAGTGTGGTGTTGTAAAGCAGTTGTTTTCTTAAAACAATCTACTGCAGTAAGTCAAGTTCTGTTTGCTATTCACTGACTTGCTATTTGATAACACTTCCTTGGTTTTGGTATATACCCCTTATTCACTTATAGCAAATGGCTGCTGCTCTCATTATTATCATATTTGCATTAATACAGCTTAGACCCAGAGTGCGTAGGGAGAGACTGTCAGGAACCTACTGCTTCCACTGTCCCCACTCTATATCTACAGTGTTGCTGGAGTCAATCCTTATTTTATTCAGGTTTTTATATCATTCTCATCGCCACAGTATCTGAGCACCGTTCAGCAGTGCATTAAGCAACATGACTCATATCAGTTGCAGTGAAACCCACTCTTGTGGTGGTGTTTTTTATCTCACTATATTTGTTGTTTTTCTTAAAGCCTCAGCTCCTGGAATCTTATGATTATGTAAAAACTTTCAGCTTTCATTTAGGAAAACTAAATAAAGTTTCAAGTACTTGTTGCAGAGAAAAGTTTAAAATTTTGAACCCAAGCATTAAAAACTGGAAGGCATACAAAAAGAATCTAAAATGCTGAGTGAGAGTGTGTGTGTGTGTGTGTGTGTGTGTGTGTGTAAAAATAATTATTTGTTTATTTTGATCTCACGATTACTATTGGGCCTGATTTGTGAACATAGTGGACAAGCGTGTTTTTTAAAAGCCTCTTTTTCTGTCAACCTCTGTCAAGGTTCCTCCCCCACTCTGAACTCTAGGGTACAGATGTGGGGACCTGCATGAAAAACCTCCTAAGCTTATCTTTACCAGCTTAGGTCAAAACTTCCCCAAGGTACAAAATATTACACCCGTTATCCTTGGAATGGCCGCTACCACCACCAAACTAATACTGGTTACTGGGGAAGAGCTGTTTGGACGCGTCTTTCCCCCCCAAAATACTTCCCAAAACCTTGCACCCCACTTCCTGGACAAGGTTTGGTAAAAAGCCTCACCAATTTGCCTAGGAGACTACAGACCCAGACCCTTGGATCTCAAGAACAATGAACAATCCTCCCAACACTTGCACCCCCCCTTTCCTGGGAAATGTTGGATAAAAAGCCTCACCAATTTGCATAGGTGACCACAGACCCAAACCCTTGGATCTGAGAACAATGAAAAAGCATTCAGTTTTTTACAAGAAGACTTTTAATAAAAGATAGAAGTAAATAGAAATAAAGAAATCCCCCCTGTAAAATCAGGATGGTAGATATCTTACAGGGTAATTAGATTCCAAAACATAGAGAACCCCTCTAGGCAAAACCTTAAGTTACAAAAAAGATGCACAGACAGAAATAGTTATTCTATTCAGCACAATTCTTTTCTCAGCCATTTAAAGAAATCATAATCTAACACATGCCTAGCTAGATTACTTACTAAAAGTTCTAAGACTCCATTCCTGGTCTATCCCTGGCAGAAACCAGCATACAGACAGACCCAGACCCTTTGTTCCTCTCCCTCCTCCCAGCTTTTGAAAGTATCTTGTCTCCTCATTGGTCATTTTGGTCAGGTGCCAGCGAGGTTACCTTTAGCTTCTTAACCCTTTACAGGTGAGAGGAGCTTTCCCCTGGCCAGGAGGGATTTCAAAGGGGTTTACCCTTCCCTTTATATTTATGACAACCTCCAAGTCCCGTGTCGTTCCCTCCCTCCCCCCCGGGATGATGCCAAGCTGTTTCTGGGGAATCCTTCCCTGTGAGGAATGGGATTGGTGTTAAATAAGTAGCCGCCTTACAATTGTCTGTAGTATTGCTACAGCTTAACCAGCCTTTCCTGAAAAGGGTTCTGCTAATAGTTTGTATTATTATTGTATTATTATTATTATTTATTGTATTATTAATAGTATTGTAAACATTGTAAGGAGAGTGATCACTTTAGATAAGCTATTACCAGCAGGAGAGTGGGGTGGGAGGAGGTATTGTTTCATGGTCTCCGTGTATATAATGTCTTCTGCAGTTTCCACAGTATGCATCCAATGAGGTGAGCTGTAGCTCACGAAAGCTTATGCTCAAATAAATTGGTTAGTCTCTAAGGTGCCACAAGTACTCCTTTTCTTTTTGCTAATAGTTTAATCTTCAATTGACCTTCACAAATGAAACAAATGATCCTTGCTCAGCTGTCAAATACTGCAGACTCCTGGCTCATACAACCTTGGATATTATATTTCAATTGGGATTCATTGGGAATGGCTTTTGTTTCTGTTTCTTTATGTGAATAGCACTGACTGTATAAAACTCAGTAATATATATAATATATATATATAAATTATAATATTTATAAAATTTATAATATATATAA